TACAATCCCAGACCATCAGGGGCTACCTAGCACCAAAACCCATCAAAGACAGGAGGAAACATCGTTACTTACTATAAGCCAACTCGTCCCCAGCTCTCTTCCGGGACTGGTCACCTCTAGGGATAACAAAAGCAGAGGCAGTAAACAGAACTGACTAATCTCTTCACACCAAAACAGTAGAAATGAATCAATACAACTGATAGTGAAAGTATAGCAAATATTTCAGTTCTCACTCTATGTGTTTTAAAATAGATACAAGCTGAGTCATTTGTAACCTGAGAATTCTTAGCTAAAGGGTACAGCCTCAGACACAAAGTTATTAAATGAAGGATCATCTGTAAGGACGTTTACACTGAGTTCCAGAAATTACCTCGGACTAAAAGTATGTCTTTAAAGACAAGCCGGAGCTCTGTGATCAACATCCCTAGTGACCTCCACATACCAAGGCAATTTCAAATATGAAATAGGAAAGAAAATGAAAAATCTTCCCCTAAAAGCCCTCCTGAAACCAAACACTCCTAAAGCCGTTGAAAACCGTCAAAGCCTTAATGTGCCTCCTACAAAAAGGAGGAAGAACATGGACCTTTACATGCCTTAACCAGCTCATCTTCAAACACCCACAGAAGTTTTAGTTCCACTTTGCAGGTAAGAAGATAGAGGTTCTGATAAAGCACTAAGCTACCTGTGAATCCTCTCTGTGTCTCTCCAGGTTCTCAGACAACAATCCAGACAAATGACTGCAATGCTAAGTAATGAGTAATAATGACCAGTGCACTAGCTGCTTCTTCCATAGTCTCTTGGCAGCATTTGTATGGTTGCCCTCACCCTTCCTGAAACACTTTTTTTCTCCTTCAGCTTCTGACCTTCCTTTTGCTGCGTTTGCTGTTCCTTTGTTGAGCACTGTTGTTCCTCCCAACACTGTCCTAGGCCATCTACTCTGCAAGTACACTCTTCCTTAGTCTACGGAGTCAAAAGATGACTTGAGAAATGTATCGATTTGATTTTGGACTAAGAATCCATTTCTTAGCCTGACGTGGTGGCACATACCAGTAATCTCAGCACCCTGGGAAGCTGAGGCATAAGGATCCCACGTTCAAGCCCAGCATAGTGACTTAAGGAGACTGTCTCAAAATGAAAAAAAAATTTTTTTAAAGGTTGACGAGGTAACAGTGTGAAGGCCTTGGGTTCAATCCCCTACTAGTACTACCACCAAAAAAAAAAAAAAAACATTTTTACAGAAAGAGCTCCTAGAAATCAAGAAGGAAAAAATGACTAACAGGGAAATGAGCCAAGGACATAAACAGGCAGTTTGCGGGAAAAGACATGCAAACTATGAAAATATGCTCGGCTTTATTTATAATGAGACATGCAAACTAAACCAAATCTAAGTAATTCTTTTTCACATGCTAGACTAAAAAACTGTTCAAGTGTAACAACATACAGTACAAACGAGGCCATGAAGAACAACCACTCTCAAACTCTGCTGGTGGCTATGAGAAATCCTCCATGGAGGACATTTTGGTAATATTAATCAAATTCGGAAGTGCATTTACTCTTGACCCAGCCATCCTATCTCTGAAAGTTTACCTTGTGGATATATACCCAACAGGTATAAATTACAGGCTGTACTAGGTTCTCCACTGAAGCATTCTGTAATATCAAAATTCAAGTGGGCAACTACTGAGGGCTGCTTAAATAAGCTACAATCTATCTAATATACCCATACAATGGAATGTGTGAAAAACGAATAAAAATTAGGACATAGTTTATGTTTCTTGTACCTGTGTGTATGCACACACACACACAAAGGAATGACAAGAAACTAGTAATAATGATTATTTAATGGTAAGTGGGCAGAAGAGAAACAAGTGAAAGTGAACCATATTAACATACTAGCCTTCAAAAATGAACAGGCAAAAATTTTTTTTTTTTTTTTTTTGGTTTTTCTCCGGTACCGGGAACCGAACTCCCTACTTTGCGCTTGCCAGGCAGGCGCTTTGCCGCTGAGCTAAATCCCCAGCCCCCAGGCAAAATTAATATGACATTAAATTATGGCTTCACTCTGTGTATGAAAATAATATCACTCAGCTTCTGCTGGAAATATTACAATTAATGTCAGGAAATACCTGCTTCCTCAACATTAAGAAAAAGGCTAACTATTTACATTCTCACTGAGCATTTCTTCCCTAGCCACAAGAAAAGAGGTCTACAGGCCTATCTACACATCTTCTCGGAGTCTTTACACTGGGAGATGCCAGGCAGGGAGGTAAATGACCAGTGGGTTATTCAGTGCCCCCACTACCCATGAGGATTAGAAAGGGAATAAATGCCAATCCATGCACAAAGAAAGAACAAGAAAAATCACCTTTCTTTCCAACCACTGCTGAAATAGACTTAGTGATCTCAGTCAAGGCTAGGTTTACTGAAATTTAGTTCGGCCTCAGAACCTTAGAAAAAGGAATGTCTACCTTTACCCTAACCAGAGGAGGCAACACCCAACCTACTACTGTGGAGAGAACTATGACCAAAACATCCCAGGTATCTCTCTTTTTTTTAAATAATTTTTCTTTAATGTTAGGAATTCAAATACAAGAAGACAAGTAAAGTCATTTTGCAAATCCACCAGCAGAGTTTGATATTCATAGACTTGCTTGTAATTGTTACACTACAATTCTGGACTTCTACCAATCTAACAGGTAAAAAAGAATTACTCCAAATTGGCTTAGTTTCCATTTTTCTTATTATGAATGAAGATAACCTAAGAGTAAGAAGTATGAAAATATAAGGTACTGCTGTGGCCTTAAATGATCTAGCGTTATAACCAGGTGTTTCGCCACAAGGTCTCACAAACATCTAAAAAATGCACTTTGTAAGATTTTTTGGGATATGGTTACGATGATGAATTGCAAAAATTTTTAAAAATAAGTGAAGTATATACACTAAAAGCAAGGGAGGTACATTTTTTGGACAAGTATAAAAAGATATTCTACTTTTTAATAAGTAGCTAAGAAAAAATGAAATGAAGAATTTAAAAATGTGCTAGCTTATTCATAAAATTTCTACAATGTTTTACCACACATTCAGGACTAATGAGAGAATCAAGTTGAAGAGCTCTTGGCGGCTGCACAATGTAACTGCTCACCAGTGAGAAATCCCTTCTTCAAAACGCACTTGGCAAAGGGCAGCTCCCACAAGCTCAAAGCCAGCTCCAATGCTACCACAGCTGATGACCTCTCCGGGCAGCAGCACCTTGGCCCATGGACAATAACTTTTCCTTCTAAGAACCTTAGCACCTTTCCCTGCCATCCTAAAATGGCCTGAAGAAAGGACATGCTTTGTCACTAAATGAAAAAGACAACTTGCCTTGTGAAACCATTCTGTATAAGTTCTCTTTGAAGTTTCTGGTCTTGAGCAGCATATTCAGAAAGCTCAGATTCCACTGCCGGAGGGAGAATGTTTGGAATAAATTTAGAAAATAGAGTTGGAGCCATCTGAACCCACTCTGTAAGGGAGAAAAAGATGCAACAAGGAAATCATACAGATAAATGGAAAAGAGAAATTTTTCTTTTGCTTAAAGAACAAAAACATATATTAAGCCAAATTTAAAACAGGGGGGAAAAACTACTTCAATCCCATTTTGTTAAAGAAATCCAAAGAAAAATCTCCTTATGGTATGAAACAACTTTTACTTTTTATAGATTTAACAGAATGAATGTAGGGAATTTTTTAATGGATCTTGTTGAAAATTCTAAGTATGAAGAAAACATCAATGGGATTACCAAAGAATTCTGAGTGGAGGGAACTTGGAAAAAAGAGCCTTGCGGGGACTGTCAGTCCTATTAGCCATGAAATAAAACAATATAGTGGTCCAAGAATAGAAAACTAAGACAGTATAATAATAAGCAGACATAAAAAAGGGAAGCAATATAAGAAAAGGAGTAGGAAGGACTGACAATTTAATATATAGGCTGGAGATAACTAATTAGTATATTGAAGATAATCTTTTTTGATCCATCTTAAAAGCACAAAAAATTGAACACATAACAAAGAAAAAATAAGTGGTTATGAAATTATTAAGAAAAATATCAAGATCACCTATATAATAAAAAAGCAAAGAAACCCCAGAAAAATATTTCCACCAGATATAACAAAAATGACTTACTACATAAGTATTTGTACTAATCATAAAACAAGATAAATAAGTAAAAGAGGAATGGATACTTCACACAAAAAAATTAAACAGAATCAAGTAATATTAATACTCAGAAAAATTCAAGCTAGTATAAACATACCCTCCTCATCCTATTTAGTGAACATTAAATATAAATAATGCCCAAGTGTGTTAAGGACAGGATAAAACCAGTATTCCCCTTCCTTGCTGTGGAACTCAATGAGCACCATTATCTCTTTTCCGCTGTTTTAATCTAGCCTTTCCAAAATTCCCCTTTTGTAAGACTTTTTGAGTGTTTATATTAAAAACCATAAACATGTCAATGCTCTTTAAGCCAGTAGGCCCACTTTAAAATTGCAATTTCAGCAAACACTTCTAAATAGGAATGAGTCACATTTGATGCTGCACAGTGCTGGATCAACGGTAAGTACAAACGGGAACTACAACAATATCCAATAGAACAGCTAAAAAGTTCATGACGGCAAATAACCAAGTACTGTAAACGTTACAAGGGCCAAGCTACTCACCCTTGCACAAACACATAGCAAAAGGTTCTCAGTGGGTCTTTCCTACCAACCCAGCTCAAACATGGCTTTAGAATCTTACTGCAGTGCTCTGGGAAACCACTAATTAATAAGTCAGGGTTCCTAGAGACCAAATCCTTCTGCCACTTTATGGAACTTCAGGTAGTCACTAAAGTACTGATCAAGAAACAACAACAAAAAAGTGTGTATAAAAAAGGTAGAGTAAGACTGAGCTTCCAAAGACCAGATGTTAACTTAGCAACAGACTCTCCAAGAATTAGGGCCCAAAAATCTACAGGTAAAAGCATCCCGAGTGATTCAGATGCAGGTGGATGACAAGCAGCACTTATGAAGCCCTGCTGTGCAAGAAACTTTTACATTTAAAATTCAACTTTTAAAATGTTCGAACCTCAATCTGCTACTTGAATACAACTGCCTTAATAAGCCAGGAATATAGCAGATACTGGCAAGACATGTAAATGTCAAAATGTTCAAGAAGATCTCTGAAAATGCCTGTAGCAAAAAGAAGTATGCAGTCAAACTCACCTTCTGAAAAGGACAATTCTCAAGTACAGAATTCTCCTCACAAGCAGTATAAATCCTATTACAAGAACACTAAGCTGTATAAAATAGCATTTAGATAAACATATATCTACAATTTTTTCTACCCATAGTGATTAGTTTTGTTCTGGAACTTTGTTACTCATGATAAAAGCCAGAACTGATAAAGCTACCCACTTGGGAAGCAGAATTTGTCATACTGCACTTGAAAGCCTTCCAACATAAAAGAAGAAAAATATAATCCGTAACCTACACATAAAAACTTCCTAAGCCACTCAACACACTGTAGTAAAATGAAATTCAAAAGGCTAAGAAATTAGAAAAAGAAAAATAATTTACTGGGATACATGCAATAAAATAATTTTGCAACTTTATATAAGCAATTACTTCACACAAGTAATTCCTCTTAAATTGTTTTTTTTTTTTTGTGGTACCAGGGATCGAACTCATAACCTGACGCTTGCTAGGCAGGTGCAGTGCCTAGCAAGTGAGCTATATCCCCGGCCCCCTCTTAAAAATTATAAAGAGAGCTCAAGACCTGATTAAAATTAACAATAGCCATGCATAGTAGCACATGCCTGTAATCCCAGCACTCAGGAGACTGAAGCAAGACTGCCACAAGTTTGAGGCCAGCCTAGACTACATAGTGAGTTCAAGCAGCCTGGACTACACAGTGAGACTCTGTCTCCAAGCAGGCAAGCAAGCAAGCAAGCAAGCAAGCAACAACACATCTGAATCCTCTAGAAGTCATTAATTGGGGCTGGGGATTTAGCTCAGGCACAGCGCCTGCCTGGCAAGCGCGAGGTCATGAGTTCAATTCCCGGTACCAGAAAAAAACGACAAAAAACAAAAATAACAATAGAAGTCATTAATTATTTCAAGTGGCCTGAGAAAGAAGGTATTCTGAACTCAGTCTACCTGATACTAGTATTTCCACTTAACTTCCATTTTAGCAAACTAAATTCTGACATGTCCTTCAAACTAATTCACCAATCAAGCCATCCATTCATTAAAATAAAGTAAACATTAAACATGAATGGAAAACAGTAAGTTAATGTTTGCATGTTCATCATGTTACGAGATGCAGTATTAAGGTCTTTGTATCACATTTCATTTCATTTAATCCTCAAACACAGAAAGGTAATTACCGTCAAAAAGACATCTTTTGCAAAAAAAAAAGAAATCTTTTGCATGTATGACGTAGAACAAGGTTCTACTCTGAGAACTACTACAATCTCTCCTTTGTGGGCATTTTATACCTGACTAGATGACACTCTGACAAGTTGGAGGTTCTTGCTTACGAACAGAGAAATACCTAAAGACACCTGCAAATTTCTTTAAATCTGCAATGTTTTTATTCTAAGACAGATACATTAGCATAATTTATAAACTGTAGCTTTTAATACAATACTTCCTATTCTGCTCTTCTGATAATATATCTTCCCAAAACATCCTTATGAAATGACTAAAACTTTATCAACACTTTTAGATTACTTGCCAGTTAAACAATAGGCCTAAGACGGTCAGAGTTGCCAATGTGTGTGACTGTACATATTTGCAGTATGGAGTAGTGAAGGAGAAACTCCATTAATAACAAAGACAGCTATTAAGATCAAACCCGAGCCTCAATTCTGTCTGAAGTGTATTCTATCATTATTTCTTATATTTCATTTTGCCTCAAAGGAGCTATAAAAGTCAAACTAACTGATTTTCACTAGTACAGAAAGAGTTCCAAGTGAGTTGTGAGTTTACATTTCACACTGATCAATATCTACTCAATTTTTTTACTACAGCAAATCTAAATGCCCCTCGGTCTCATGAGACTCATAAAAAAACCACTGCCCTCTTGAATAAGGCTGTAACATACATAAGCAAGCAAGTCCAAGCCCAACAAAAATGACGGCTTTTTACCTGGTCTGAGAGTATACAGGCCTTTCACGATGTTTGCCATAGTTGAAGGTGTGACCTGAAATGGTGTTGACTGGGCTTCTAGAAGTAAAGCTGAAACAGGAAGACAGTGAAAAAGGTGTCAGGGGTCCTGACTGCCAAGATTTCTCTCGCAACTATTATTTCTCTCAAGGACCAAAGGTAAACAAGTATAAGGAAAATCAGCCCAAGAGGACACATCAAGTTTTATAAACTTCAAGATTAAAAAAAGTACAGTAGCTTAATTCAACAAGTAAATACTTAACAATGGTTGGCTGGAACATTAAGCAAAACGAACCAACTCATGGAGGTTCAGAAAAGAAGTAAATTTTTCTAAAAGCAACAGTGTCTGTGGCACTTAGTAATAGTACTAGCGCTGTATCTGGAAACTAGTGGGTGATAGGAGAGGTCTAAAGCCTTGAGCTTCACTCTAAATTCTGTGTTCTCTACCTCCCCACACATGCCACCACGGAAATTACACACAACCAGTACTAATAAACTCTTGTTGTAAGTAGTAGTTTTCTTCTAAAAATCATTTATTACAGAAACAAGAATCAACAATCCCACTAATCAAGAAGTCAATAAATCATACAGTTTTAAAACTAGAGAACTCTAATAATTCCTAGACCAATCTCTCTCTTTAGGAATCATAATGCTAAAGTCTAGAGGGGTTAAGTACCTTCCCGGGTCCTGCGCTCCTCTGCTCGTTCAAGTGATCCTCAGTGCTACAAGCTTCCCCTGCGGCATCTGTCTTTTATTAATTTACTCTAAAAATTAAAACTAAGATTCCATTTTATTTTACAAGCATGTAAGTATCAAAATGACTGTACCATGGGGCTGACAGAGAACTGGCCTCATCTGCAGTGAGAAGGCACTGTCTTCATGCATAAAGGACACTTCATGAATACTAAGGACCAATTATTTTTCAGCAGAGGATGTTCATTTGCCTTGCTGTACTCCTTTAACACATGACCCCTCATTTTCCTGACATACCTCCCATCAAGAGGTGTGATCTGCGTCCCCTCCCTAAGGAATCTAGGCTCTGTGACTGCTTGCCAAAAGGATTCGGAAAAAGTGAATGTTTCTGGGCCTCAGGATTTAAGAAACTAGTGCATCCATTTCTTGTATCTTGTGACTGTCACTCTTGGAGAAAAACAGGTGACGAACCAAAATAACACACCAAGTTAACAGCCACATACGTCAGCCATTTGGAAAGGTCCAGCCCCTCCCTGCTGAGGCTTATCAGCCAGTGCTGAGCACAGGAGGGATAAACTGCCCACAAGACCCTTCACGAGTTAAAGAGCAAAATAAGAGCGGCTGTTAGAAGCCACTGTGCTCCTGGATGACTTGTCACATGGCAATAACCATAGAATACTAACATTTCCAAATGTATTTGAAGCCAAAAGGAAGCCACTGATCAAATTTTAGAAAAAGCCCAGAAATTGAGTGTAGTTATGTGCTTTCAGAGTATGCAGCTGATAGTAAAATGTGTAACTAGAGACACAACATTAATCCTTAATTGCAGTGTTATTCTGTTTAAATTAATTTTAATCTCTCTTTGCCTTAGTTTCTGTGGTAATAACTGTACCTATCCTACAGGTCTAGGAGAATTAAGTAAGTTAATATTGGTAAAGTATCTCAAACAGGCCCTACTACATATAAGCAGTATGTGGGTGTTTTCAAAAATCTTTTTGATGACTACTGATATAACACTGTTAAACGTTTATAGAGTCCCTTGTTCTGGAGCCCAAACCAGTATGACCTGTGGTCACTTTTAGTATCTCTTACTGTAACCCCAATGCCTAGTAACTGTCCAGTAAATATGTCGTAACTTCAGTTGTATCCAATTTATAAAAGCTTAAAGTCGTTTTCAGTTTATTTGGAAAAGGTCTATCTACCTTTAAGTGTCATTTGTATTGAAAACCAGATTATATGATAAATGAAAGAAGTAATTTGTTAATCCTTTTTCTCTCGCCACATCAGTATTTTATTCTGTTTTGAATATTCTCTTCTATATTTGAATATTCTCTTCCCAATAAAATTCACTTCCAAATTACTAACTAGTTTAAAAACACATTTATAAAGAAAATAAGTTTTCTATCTGATGGTAGCATTTCTCCATTGAATTTTTAACAAAGAAGAAAGTACAGTATATTTTGCAATAAAAGCAAAGACAATGTCAGCAACAGGAAATGGCTATAACTAACAGCTACATTATCTCATGAGATAATATTCAAAGATATTTGTAAACATCTGTGTAGCCTTAAAAATATATACGCAAGATTCTGGGTCTCCCAATCCAAAAATGGGCATCTGAGATGAACACACACTTCTCTCATAAATAAGTACAAATGGCAAATAAGTGTATGAAAAAATGTTCAATATCATTAGTCATTCAAGAAATGCAAAGTAATACAACACTGAGATTCCCTCTCACCCCAGAAAGAATAGCTATCATCAAGAAGTCAACCAATAACAAATGCTGGAGAGGTTATAGGAGAAAAGGAGCCCTTCTCTCCACTATTGGTGGGAGGGCAGACTGGTACAACCGCTATGGAAATCCCTGTGGAGAGTCCTCAAAAAAACAAGGATTAGAGGTCCCATTCAACCCAACTATTCCCCTTCTGGGTATTTTTCCAGAAGAACTGACAACATCATGCCACAGCGATACCTGCGCACTAGTGTTTATAGCAGCACAACGTGTCATAGCTAAATCTTGGAAACAACCCAAATGCCCATCAACTGAGGAATGGATAAAACAGATGGGGTATTTTTATACAATGGAGTATTACTCAGCTAAAAAAAGAGCAACTCTAGGCTTTTACAGGTAAGTGGACGCAACTAGAGACCATACTCGTAAGTGAAATAAATCGTTCTCACATATGTAAACATTGCATTGTCTCCCTAGTGTAAGAATCTGAAAGAGAATCAGAAAGGTACAATAGATACTATGAAAGGGAAAGAAACTGCTCAAAGGGAAGGAACAACTGGGATGAGAGAAAGGAGAAAAAAAGAAAAGGAAGGGAAAAAAATATATATGTATATACACAGAATAGCTGGTTAATTGTACTGCTGATTTCTACTGTCTACTGAAAGGAATAGTCAACTGTTAAATTTTTTTCTGACCAATTTTGCATGCTTATATCTGGTAATCTGAACAACTAATCCGAAAACAACGATATGCAATATAACAATCCTTGTTGAATCCTATCATCTTGTTTAGTGAAATTCTGTAACTTTCTAAATTTTTTATTATTTTTTATTCTCTTTAAAATAAAGATTCTGAGTCTCTCTTTTAGATTATGGGATTCCTTGGGAACATAATAATAAAACATGTATTCCCTTCATCTAGACTTTTATCTGAAAACTCTGCTTTTCTAAAATAAACTGGCCCAATGTTTAACAACTCCATCTCTTAATTTACAATAAAAAATGGAAAAAATAGTTAATGATCAAGCTTAGGAAAATTCTTTTGTAAGTTCAGGTAGAGGTTTATTATCATAGCAGCTAATTGTGTTTAACAGGAAAACAACAAAATACATACTGCAAATTCTAGTATGTACCAATTCTTTTTAAATGCTTTGATACGTATATCTATACCTCATAGGATACGAGCTTTTAAACAGTACGGAGACATTAAGCCTGGGGCTTCCTATAGACATATTCTTTTAGGAAAGGCAGCATGAGGTGCCACCCACTGAGAGAGGCCGACAACCTAGGAATGGAGAGAGAAGAAAAACTAACCGGACATTGCCCTGTGTAATCATCTGCAAGGCCATGTTAAATATGTTGTAAGTCCTAATTCACAGAAGAGAGAACACCACAAGAGGCTAAGAAGCTCACCTAACACCTTCTACTCATGAATTCCCCCTTGTGTCTCTCCCTATAAAGGCTTCAACACTTCCTGATACCCAGTTCAGAAAATGTCAACACTGGGGTTTGTATGACAGTGCTGGGGGTGCTTTGCCAGTAGCGGCCTCTCACCTCCACAGTAAGCTGAATTACTGAATTACTTACGCATTAGGCTGTAAATGTGCTTTTCTGCAACATGTTCCGTAAACAGCTTAATAAGGTCATCTTTTAAATCTCTGTTAAGCTTGGTTTCGATGTAAAACTTATTCTGAAAAAGAAAATTTTTTAATGCATGGATTAGAGAAAATGATTAGTTTCATGAATGGAAACACTAAACATCATTTTAGGAAATAACGCATGAAAGTCACTGATTAAAAATACAGACCAGCATCAAACAACAAGTGTCCTAGTACACGTCTTTCTGGCACAAGATTGCAAGAACAAGATTAAGTGCTATGAGCTGTAACTTCACGTTGCTGTAGAGACACTACAGAACCACATTGTGTGACATGCTTTTTAAAAATCTTAATCAGGTAAAATAACAACCATTGATAATTTCCTACCACTTTGTCTGTAATTCAGTAAGTTCGCCTATTACTATGTTATCCTTCTTTTACTCTTTAAAATAAAAAACAAAAACAACAACAACAACAAAAATCTTAGAGGTGGTGGTGCTGAAGTAGAAGGATCTCAAGTTCAAGCTCAAAATAAAAAATGAAACACGGGTCAGGGATAGAGCTCAGTGGGGAGGTACTGGGTTCAATAACCAGGACCAGGGAGAAATATCCTGCATCATCATCTAAACACAACACCAGGAGAAAGACACCCCTCTCATGAGCTACATGAAAAGCAGGCAGTAAACACGCAATGCTGACCCTACCACACATTCCACTTCAGGAATCAGCCTGTCATTCCACTCTTGGTGTTCCACAGAGACCATCTGTGCTTCAGAGGCAGAGAGCAAATATGGCTTAAAGCAGACCGAGAAAAGGCCAGGACTCAGGGGAAAGTTCTCTAGTCATCCTATGAACCACAGGGGATCTATAAGTGGTGGGCAGCAAGATACAGAAAAGAGCACTGATTCAAACACCACTGGAGATTGCGTCTTTCCGTAGTTCTACTGCAGGGCACAACACTTTTCCTTATTTGCTTAAATCACTTTGAATCCAGTTTTCTGCCTGCTGCAGCCGAAGTATCCTGACCAGCATGACTAGCAAGCCAAAAATGATCAAATCTGTTTAGGTATGAATATTAACTCAATGCCTAAAAGCAGAAAACACAGAGATGAATGTTGACAAGTTACTGATTCTCTCATAATAGTTTTTTCTATCTTTAAAATATTTAATTAGATCCAATATGGTTAAAAAACACAAACACACACAAAGGGTATGCAGTGAAGTCTCCCCTTGCAGGTCCTCTGTCCTCTTCCCAGAGGTTCCAGTCTACACTGGGAAAAGCACTGTACATTCTTTCTAAAATGTTCCTTATACATGTGTACTTTTTTTTACTAAAAAAAGACAGCCCTTGCTAAGGAGAAAATACTACACACTATCTATACTTCATCTATCACCCTCAAGTTGCATTCCATACAACTTTTCTCTAAAAGAACAGACATATCATTATTTTTAACTATGTATTTCTCTTTCCCATTTATTAGTCCCAATTGCTTTGCCAGTCTGTCCTATTAAAAATACTGCGTAATTCTTACACGTCTAGTATTTTTACATGCTTATGAGTTTATTTGTATTCCTAGATATAATTCCTCAATCTTTCAAAGAGACTTCCAATTATTATTTCTACCAAAAGTGTGAACTTATTTCCCTTTGGACTCACCAGAACTATTATCAGACCTTTTCAATTTCACTAAAAGTGTTTTTAAAAAGTTGCTTTGTTTGAATTTGCCATTCTTTAATTAGGGTATTGGATATAGTATTGTATTTATATTTCAGTTTAGTATCTATCCATATTCTTTTGTCTATTTTTCAATAGAAAAACAGGTTGTTCATCTTTTTCTAATTAATTCATGAAAACTGATTCTTTATTAAAGAAATAAATTTTTGTCTCATGTTTCACAAAGTTAGTGCTATTTTTCCCCACCTACGTTTTGCTCATGGTATTTTACTACACTAACATTTTTAAACTTTATAGTATCATAGTCTAGTATTTTCCCTCATGACTGGTAGGTCTGGGTCTGACTTAGAAAGACCTTTTCTCATCCCAAGGCTGCCCATTCCTTCTAGTTCCCTAATATTTTATTTTTAAACTTATTCCATTTAGAATTTGTTATAAAGAATACAGCCATTATCAGACTCCTCTACTCTCTAAAATGACTATCAATTGTCTCAACACCAGCTAAGGAACAATTTAAGCCTTCCTTATTGATCTAGAATGTCTTTTTTCTTTATCAAAAATGCCATGTCCTTTCTTCTTCATTAAAATGCCACTTCAGTGTTTTCTGGTTTCCACTGTCTCGATCTATCTATCCCTGAGCCAATGACAAACCTTTTAATTACTGCAACCTTCTCATTCCGTTCAATACTGGTGAGGGACTGTCACCTTTTATCTGTCATTATAGTACCTTTCATAACTACTAGTTTCGTTCTTTTCTCATATGAATTTTATCAAGTGTGCCAAATTTCTTTTCTAAGAAATTGTTTCCCCTAGAAGTAATATATGGTGAAAGTTTATTTTAAATTAATTTTTTAAAAATCAATTATCTAGCTACTTTCATAAATGAAATTTTTAAATCAAAATTTAGAACAAAATTGATTTGACACTTGTCATTTATATACAAGAATACAAGATAAAATAACTTTTATTGCTGAAAGAAAATTCTCTGCATTTATAGCGTTTTTCTCTGCTGGTGTATCGTACTGTCAGCATTTAAGGCTTTAAAGTACAGCTCTTAATGTGCACTTCCACTTCCTACTCTTCTGGAAGTAAGCAGAGTCCCTGAAACAGAAACAGTACGAAATCTTCTCAAGTACTCAGCAACTCAAGCTATTTCACCTGTTTAAGTAACAAGACATTCAACTTTTATAGGACAATGTTAAGTTCTAACATCCTAAATAAGAATACAAAATATCTTTATTTGATCTCTGTGTCCTTCAACAAGAATACTTCTGGTAATTTAAGGTCTTAGACACAATTTATTTTCTAGTTTAATGACACTCTCTTCCTCTCTCTCCCTCTCTCTCTCTCTATACATATATGCCTGTTATTTTTACAAAATATTGAGTTTCAATGTGGTATTTTCACATATGTATATAACATACTGTGATCACATTAATCCTCCCATTACCCTCTCTTGTACCTCCTCCTCCTTGCCCCTCTTCCCTTCTGCTCATCTAATAACTGTCTCTGTTCTTTCATGCCATTTCCTTTCTTAGATTCTACATACCAGGGAAAACATCTGATACTTGTTTTTCTGAGTCCGGCTTATTTCACTTAACATGAAGATCTCCAGTTTCATCTACTTCCCTATAAATGGCACGTTTTCTTCATCTGTTCATCTGTTAATGGGCACCTAGGCTGGTTGCATACTTTGTGCTAGAATAAACACGAACATGTAGGTTTCTCTAGTGTGTTAAATGTAATTCTTTTGGGTATACCCCAAGGAGTGCTATAGCTACACCATAGGCTAGTTCTACTTTCAGTTTTTTGAGAAACCTCCATACTAATTTCCATACTGGCTAAACTAATTTATACTCCCACAACAGTGCAGAAGGTTTGTTTTGCTTATATTATTGCCAGCATTTATTATTATATATTCTTGATGATATCCATTCTGTCTAGGGTAGTGTGGAATCTCAATGTAGTTTTGATTTGCATTTGCCTAATGGCTAAAGATATTCATATACTTACTGGCCATCTGTCAAGTATCTGTTAGTTTCTTCAAATAGTCACACGGACTTTTAGCAAAGATAATGTTGATAAAACTTTTAAAACTTTGTCACCTATTTCTGTGACTACAAAGGACATTTTGCTGATTATGTCCCTAACAGGTTAAGATTTCAAATCATTCTTTCATATACTTTTCCAACAAACAAAAACCAAAGATTAAAAAAATTTTACCTTCTGGGAAGAATAATTTATTTTTGTTTATTTGTTTGTTTTCTGGCACCAGGAATCAAACTCAGAACCTCGCATTTGCCACACAGGTGCTGTGCCACTGAGCTATATCCTCAGCTCTGGACGAAATAACCAATTTTTTCCAATAACCAGAAACCAAGTGACGTGTTCTATATGAAAAACTGTAGTAATTTAAGAACCCCTCACTGAATTTTGCCAGGTGGAAGGTAACCCTGCAGTGTACTTTTCCATGACACAGGTCTCCCAAACGCCACCTAAAATTTTAACAGAGCAACAGTGGCACTAGAGAAGTGGGAATCATTTTTCTCCCGTACTCAATCTAATTTCTTATAAATTAGGTATTCATGTGTTAAAGTCATGATAAATCCAAGATATGATAATTTAATTTAATTTTGTTTCCCTAACCTACCGAGCCAATATGCTCACTGGAAATGTCATTCAAATGGCGGACACAGAAACGAATAACCCAATCATCTACCCTTAACTCCTTTATCCACAAAGAGGCCCCAGGCCCTGTGCTTCAGCTCCCCTTCCATTCATTTTTGATACTGAAAACTTGAAAAAAGTGAAAATAAGGGGCCGGCTAGAATGGAAATGAAGTATTTGCTCAATTGGTGAAAGGTATTTACCTAACATATCCAGTGATAAATAATCTATGAGAGGATTTCACCAAATGATACAACAGGGCTACCTCCAGGCTTCCTGACCCTGAGAATTGATGTGGCTAACCCAGGTGCACTTAATTCTAGTATTATTAATAATATTTTGACTAGTGTCACAATTCACAAAGGTGTTCTAGCAACTAAACCAAAATCAAAGCTATCAATTTTTTTCTAAGACAAATCTTGGTTAAAAAAAAGGTAAAACCAAGTTTCTTCTGCATTATATTGACTGTAAAACTCTGATTAACTTTTGCAATTGTTATCGGTACCTAAAGAATTCTATGTGTAAATATAAATAAGAATTATTAGTTTAAATCAAAATCATAAAGTACAGTAAGATCTTTTGGAACATGACTTCTAAATTAGAGGTAGTTCTGTTTTCTGTTTTTTAATATAAAGTATGTTTTATGAAGAATGATCATTTTTAAGATTGGTATTCTACATACAATAGTGTATATGCTACAGAAGGTAGAATCAACCAAACATCTAGTTGTCTAATCTAAAAAACAAAGAGTTAGAATAATGGCTTCTAGGGGTCCCTCCATTCAGTAAGAACACTAAACATTAAGATTCCACAATTTTATATATTTAAAAGGGGGAGAAAGAAAACTAATCAACAAGTTATAGCCTACAAATTATACTCATAGCATAACTCTACAAATAAAAGAGATCATAAGACTAGAATTAATATTTTAGTGCTTTACTTTTTACAGGATGTCTCATTTGGCACTTACCACATATATTTTTGTTTGCCTTAACTCTCTTCGTTTTAAGGAAATCTTATACAGTAAATCCTCAACTTACAAACAAGTTCCATTCTAGGAAAATGTTGATAAACTGATTACTTCATAATCCCACAAAGTGTGTCTTATACAGTACACCTGTGAAAGTTTTCAACTTGAACGTTTGGAACCCAGGGACTGTATGTTTTTATTTTTCCAGGACCAAGCACAGTGCCTTCCACATGACAGAAATAAAAGCTCATTGTGTGAATGCTGACCATTAATTCAGCAATTGTTACTTACAGAATTTCAAATCAGTAAAAGGGAAAAATAGTTGGCATCAGCTATAAAACACAACCAAAGTTCATTTCTACTTCTAAAAATTACACAAAATACAGTAAAAGAAAAACAGAATACGTTTAACTCTGCATCTTTTTGAAAGTAGGAAACAGCTTGAACTTACCATATATATGAAAAGAGGCACAATGCTCTGCAATGCTCCCATATATTGTCCAAGAGCTATATTAAATCTTTCAATATAGAGATCCGGAGGGCTGGCCTGTGAAAGAGAAGATAAATGTGATCATTTTGGGAAACCAGGTTGAAGTCCTTCCACCATAATCTGAAATGCAAATAGACTTAGAAAGAATAAATTTATACTGAGATTCACAATAAAGAAAAGAAGATGCATTTATACATTTAAGTTAGGACTTCTGTCTTGTTCCAAAGCCTGCTATATAAAGCTGAGCTTTGGTTTAGTCATTTTTAAAATATGTATAGCCTCAACATGTTAATTAAAAGGTTTGTTCTCTTTGTGAGTAAAAGAAATGAAGACAAGAAAAATTGTAAATTATCACTGAATTATGTAGATATCTACAGGAACCAAACTACTGGAGACCAGAATGGGGGAAAGGAGGAATTTAACAAAGTGGAACAGGCACAACATACTTTTAGAGTAGTTAGTTGGATTTTGTGATTACCTTAGGCACAGTAATATTCAGAGTTCTGTGCTAACTGGGTTGTAAAAAGCTTCTGTGGTTCTTCTGTGTAAAAAGCTTCTTTCTAACTATAAATATTAGTTAGAAAGCAGGAACTAAAATGATCCATGTATCTGCAAAGTAGTATGATGTAATCCATGCCTATTTAACTCACTGTTACAAATGCCAAGTCACAAAACCATCTCACTTCCAACTTCATCATGCTACCGAATGAACTGTATGTCCTTTCAAAATTAACAAATGTATTTTGAAGCCCCAGTGCAGCTCTATTTGAGATAAAGAAGTATTTGAGTCTACACAGGGTCCTAAGAATGGAGCCCCAGTCCTATGGGATTAGCGACTTCATACAGAGAAACCTTGAGCTCGCTCACCCCACCCCCAAACATGGCTCAGAGGAAATTTATGTGAAGGCTTCGGTGAGAAGGCTGTCAGTCACAAGCCAGGAGAGCCCTCGCCAGGAACTGAACCGGCTAGCACCTTGATCTTGGCACTGCCAGCCTCTAGGACTGTAAAAAGCAAACTTCTGTTGTTTAAATCACCCAGTCTGCGGTATTTTGCTGTGGCAGCCCAAGCAACACCATGTTTTATACATTCTCTAAAATTTTAATATTAAATCTGAATGACACAGCACATTCGCCTAAGATTACAGCATTAACAAATATCATCCAGGTCTTCCAACTAAGAATTCATTCCTGAGCTAGGGTATTGGCCATAGCTGAAACATCATGCAAACAAAACAGAATCTACACAAAGTCTAACCTGTGGTAGTCTTGTAACTTGACAACCGAATTTTACAAAGTCATAATTTCAAACAAGGATAGTGAAGAAATGTCACACTAAAGGGCTGCTAAATATTAAATTTAAAAATATAAAATTATAAAGCATGGCTAGGGCCAGGAGACACAGCTCAGCAGCACAGTGCCTGCCTGGCAAATACGAGATCATGAGTTTGATTCCTGGTACCAAAAAAAAAAAAAAAAA